GGAGGATAGACGAGATAGATGATGAGCTCAAGGCATGCAGGGCCGCATTCGAATTATCACCGAGAAAAAGTTTCAAGAATTTCATTTAGAAAATTGAACATTTCCGAGCGTCTTTTTTCAGATTAAAAAGTATTTTTAATATCGTCGAATCATTAGCTCTTTTATAATATATAATGACATTTGAAAAAAAATGGGAAAGATCAGTGACAACTGTATAGTTTTCTTAAATGCAGATCTTATTAATTAGCTTCTTTCATCTATATTTATAAATCTATATTATTATTAATGTTTTTTTTCCCCTTTTCAACCCCTAAATATATAAGTTCAGAATTCAAAATTCTCTGTTCGATAATTAAAATGTTTATATAAAATTAAATATAAATATCAAGTAAAAAATTATTATTTGAATGTTTACGTCATCCAAATATTATATAAAAATATTCCCATAAGATATCTCTCTGAGTCATTTAAATTTTGATGTCAGAAATATTTAAAAAAATTCTCGCAACTATAACTTGGGCATTAAAAGTAATTATGTTTTGCACATCGATATTCCCTCAAATAATTACGGCAATCACAATAGAGCTTATGAAAGAGAGAAAGCTGCAGCCCTGTAAGAATAACGTTATCTAACGCAGAAATCTTCGAAGGGCCCACATATTCCAGGGGGCCGCTCTTCTTTCTTTCTTTTTCAACGTTCTTCTCGTTTCCTCCTTCGGCTACTCTGACTCACCCTTGCACGTGTTCAATTTCAGCCTCTTTGAAAGCTCGTTCCTTATCCCGCTGGTCAGGATCCTAGAGAATCCTTGTTGCCGGACCCGAATGAGGTTCTTTCTCGGCCAACCGCTCCGCCCACAGGACCCTTCGCGTTCGAGAAAAGGATCGAGCCGCGACCAAAGAGACCCATCAAACCGTTCCTCCATATGTACGTAAAAAAGACCGTGGACGCACAAAGACGAAGGAGACGCCATCGGCGATGACCGTCGTCTTCTCCTCGCGAAAAGTCATTGTCGCCTCTGACGTTCGAACGAGCATTTTCGAATAATTGTTATCGTACATTAACAATTTAGGGCGAGTCCAGGCGGAACGGCGACTCTTCAAAAACGTCATCGTCACCGACGAGTGGCATCGGGCGTTTTGTGGGCCCGATACTCAATAGATGCCAATTCGTATAGTAAATCGTGATGAAGTTAAATGTCCCGTTGCATCATGCGCGGATTTCTCGGCAAGAGAAAATTGAAATTAAATTTTCGAGATAAAAATTTATCGCACTTTTATAGTTCTTTTACAGATTCTATCGTGACTATCATAATTATTTTGGGCGAAATTTAATGCGCAAAACATATTTTTTGTGTCTAAATTATTTTTATGAATTTTAATATAAAAAGGGTTAAAGTAGTTTTATGTTTCGAGAAAAAATAATTGATAAGATATGAAATAATAGAATTCGATAAGCATTTTTCATTTAAAATTGTTTACATTAGCGCACTGAGATTATTATATCTATTCATATGTGTATAATACCTAGATATAATAAAATATGTTAATAAACATATATATTTGCTAAGCAATTTTCTCTTCGCGTCCAAACATTCTATAATTTTCATATATACGCTTTCTCGTACGAATTTGCCTCGGGGGATGCTATCTGTTGCAATTTTCTACGCGAGTCCGATGAATTTATGAGTTTGCGCATCTGCAGCATCCTTGAATCCACGTCTATTTTCGAAAAATAAAACGCATTCGAATTGAATTGAACGCTATTCATGTGCGAATTTCGAAAAAAAAAAAATGGTAAAACGCGAAGAGGTTCGCGAGCATCTTCGCTCCCGAAGAACGAATGAAATAGACAGGATATACCACGATGACACGGTCCACGCTAATCCTGCAATAGAAATCCTTAAGTCGCTACCGGTCATCCGACGGTAGCGCAGTAGAAGGCGGCAGAAAGGGAAGACGGGAAATGTATAATTTATAATGATAATCCTTTAAGAATGGATCCGTGCCCCGGAGGCAGATTCACGGTCCTGCGAGCTTCAATGCGACCCTCTCCTTCCGACACTCTTTCAAAACTATCCTCCCCCACGCTCGATTTTTTTCTCTCCTTTACTCCGGTCGGATGAATCACACGGCAGTTCCGTCAGGATCTTGTGTTTACATAGGTGCAAGACTTGCGAGGAACAGCTGTTTATTTAAGGACATAATGGCGACTCTCGTAAATGGAAACGGACTCTTTCCGAGCCAGATTTCTCGACGCGCAAAACCTTCGGGGATTTTGAATTCGATATGGAAGGAATATCACCACATGGTCCTCCAACAAGTTTGCCGACTCTCAAACTTGGTGTACCGAGTAATATTTGATATTAGGATTCTCGTGTTGATATTAGAGCCTATCAAGTTCATTATATAAACGTATATTGACGTTTTTATTATCGCGGGGAGTGGTTTTTAATTTGGATTTAAAGTGAAAAGTCAAGCTTTCGGCAAAATTTGATACGCGCAATTCTAATATTTCTATTTAAAATTCTTATTTTATAATATTTTCAATTATAGTTGAAGTTTCATATAATTTCTAAAATAAAACATATATTTTATATAAATAAAACATGCGTGTGTATAAATTTGTAAAATATTGTAAAAAGTGTTAAGTTCACACATATATAGTGAAAATAATTCACATTTAAAGGTGAAGATTGCTTTCTATGAATTTAATGCAGATGATGAAAGAAGATTCGAACCAGGACGGTTCTGCATTGTACAGAAGCAACGAGTGAAAATTTCAAGGATGCCCCGAGCAAAATTTATGCGTCACGGATACAGTTGTTCGCGAGCATACGAATCCTTCCCTTTTCTACGGCGCGCATCTAGGATGACGAAATTCGCTATTGAAAAGTACGTGTCGGAGCATCGCGCGAGAGAGTTAGGTCGCGTCCTTTTAAAAGAGACTTTTTCACACAATCCCGAGAGAGAATGCACCCACCCCCATGTTAGATTCGCTTTTCAAACGTCGCGGCAGGTCCTCGCATCTGCCAAGATCCGTTCTCCTTTACGCGAGACTTTGGGATGAGGCCCAAATACTGATCTCTGCGAAAGATCCGTGCAAGTTTAAACATGTCTTACCTGCTGCTGGCACTGGCTGAAGAAACTCGGTCGAAGCGCGCTTTTAATACTCTGCGGGTTCGAACCTGCAGGCTGGATTTTGCCTGTTGCAAACGTTTCGAGTTTACGTAACATGTGACACGAAAAGAAATCTTTTCTCCTTAAGCGAAATAACGAAACGCGTCTAACATGTTCGAACCTGCGAGAATCTACTTGAGAAATGTCTTTTCTTCGCACTCTTATTCGATCAAACTTGGCATCATATTTTCTAAAATTGTGTTTTTTGTAATTTATATAAGAAATGAAATTTTTCAAAAATGCTTTCGTGATGCAAATTGTATCAAAAAAATATCGCAAAAGATATTTCAAGTGTGATGTAATCCGGTCTAATATTTCTTATTTAAAATTATTTATAGAATAATATTTCATAGAATTAAGAAAATTAATTGTTCCTTTAGAAATATTATAAATTTTTACAAAATTAATAAATCAAAAGAATAAATAATATCAAAAAGCAGAAATGTCAAATTATGACAAATGACAAGTATTACTCCAAAGCATTGCAATAGATCAAGTGAATAGTTCATCACAAAATTATTCTATACCGTTAATCAGATAATTTCTCTTCGACCCTCCGATCCGTTAACCCAAAACCCCCAACCGGCGATGTACCGAAAGAGTTAGCGGAAACCTTGCGAACAATACGAAGGGAAAGGGTTACCCTTCCGACGGGACTGCACCTGTGAAAGGGTTGAAACGCGGAATAAAAGATTTCCAAAGTCCGGGACGTTAGCGACAAGTGCACTAAAAAACATTAATTCGCAAATTTTTCTCGGTATAAAAACTAACGCCGCGGTTATTCCAATAATTTTAAACGCGCAGCTGGCGAGTTTTCTACAAAATCTGGAAAAAGGGCTGCGTAAACGGCAGCTGCGGAAACTATATATCACACAAACGCATATATATTATGTGTGCATATCGTGCAGTCGGTGGTGCACGCGACGGGACAAGTTTTTCCGGTGAGAGACGAAGACGAAAATCAACCCTTGAATCGTCTTGAATTCTCTTTCAATCGATTCGCTCTCGGCACGCAAGATCGAAGTGTCGCTTTTATGATTGCGTGCTGCGCGCACATGTGCTCGCGAGCACGATGTAAGGGTGAGAGAAGCGTCCTTTGTGAGCGCGTTTGACCCTTTTTACCTGGATCACTCTCGACCCTCGCCTTGTAATGTGGGAGGGAGAAATGTCGAACAAACATCGGCCGGTGCTTACCCCGTACGGTGGCCCATTCAACGATGTAAGATATGCATCTACAGCCCCGAATGGGCCTCGAAAATAACGAAATTCTACCGGAGATTTTCGTGATTTTGAATAATATTGCATTCACCCCCGTGGCCGCCTTTAACCCCTCTCGGCCTGGACGTTTTCAAAGGGATCGAAAGGGTCCTCTCTCGCGCGTCGCGGCATTATATGGTCCGGCCTTTTTTATTCTACCCACGGAAATTCCCTGGACCGGTCCGAGGGGACAAAGGCTTCCGCGTGGTTTTCTGACGGATGGGTGAGCGAGTCGAAGCGCATAAAGGATTTATCCGCGAAGGATAAATCGCTCGATCGTGAATAAGAAGCAATTTATATATTCGGCAGCATCATTGCGCTGATTTCAATTTTTTAACGGATAAAAATAAAAAAGCATTGTTAAATCGAATTATTTTTTGACATTTTTCGGTATTTTAAATGCATTTTGCATTAACAAAGAATTTAATAGCAATAAACATTCAAAATTTAGAAGATTCTATTTACGACTAGAGTCAAATTCAAGAGTAAAATTGAAAGTGTTAAATTGAAAGCAGCACAAATGCTTAGCACAAAGACTACATACAAAAGACATGTAGAGAACTCACCAACACCGACGTTTAAACTCGTCGATCCGCTTCAGTCGTCGAATCAGCGCTGGTGCGGCTGCTTCACCTGCGGCAGAAATTAGCGAAACGTTAATTCACAAAATAACAGTGCGTTTTATTGCGATGATGAAACGCGTCTTGGCCGACAGGCACAATCGCTGAATTAAAAAAAAAAAAGTAACGAGAAATGCGGCAAATTATAATCGCGCGATCATTAAATGTTTCGTCGAAGACACGCCGAGCTTTACGAATTATATATTGACGAGCTGTAAAAAAAGCTCGTTAGAAACCGCTGGGAGTGTCCCGGTAATTCGAGATGTAATTCGGCCCGATTACACACGGTGCCGCCCTAATAACCGAAATTCGTATCGACCCATAGCCTCAACACCCCTTAAAAAATATTTAATAAGCATCGAAAAAACATAGTGGTGCAAGCCTATTATAAATTCCACCCATTTGCCACAAAGTGGGAGAAAGCATCCAACTAGGCCAACAGCTTGATCATTGAACATAACGAACGCAATCAGATAAAAAAACAAATTTTATAAAATTAATTGATCTGTAATTAGTTACAATTTCTCTAAAGATATATATGTTTTTTTTTAAATTATTTGTGAAATGCAAAATAATAAATTTAATTTAACGCACTAATAAAATTGCAAGTTTAAAATTATGTTACACAAGAATTAAAAAGTTTTATTTAAATATGGACACTATAATTCAAAGTAATATTTCTCTATACGTTCGAAGATATAATAAATCTGTGAAATAATCGATTGTTTGCGTGGATTAATTCTAAAAGTATAAAAAGAAAATGTGAATTTTTTACAAACTTCTTGCACATTTTAATTCAGGTCTGTACCCAAGATGAGAGATAAAATTCCAATCAAGAAAATCTATCTAAGAACAGCATCTACCTGCCGAAAGCGATTACCAACCCCGTAGAAGTGAGAAATAAAAAACGAATACGGTAGTCGTTGGACTATTTTTCGCCCCCAGGTGCGAACAAGATTTTTCTTTTTTTAATCTCCTCTTTTCTTGACGTACCTTCGTTCATTATTTTTCTCTTTTTCTATTATCGATTTTTGCCTGGAAGTAATAAGTGAATAATCGGTTGACCATATTCTTTCGAAAAAAAAACTATAATATAAAGATAAGATTCGTACGAGAAAAATAAAATAGAGAAACTTTTACTTTGTTTTGTTTAATGAAATCGTGAGGTCATAATCATACCACACATTTATCGTCAAATATAGTAATTTGTCTTATTACGAAAATCGCATATCTCGAATAAAGAATCCGAAAAATTTACTCAACTTCTAAAATGGAATTCGGAGTTCAATAAATTAAATATGAATAGAAATTACGTAATGCTGCACGACAATTGCTGTTTCATATAGTAACATCGCATAATTCGAGCAAATCGATTTCAAGATTATATATGCGCGCATAAAAGAAATCAACAGTCTTCTTTCTTTTCTCGCGCGCGCTCATGTGTAATGGCACCGATTTTAAGACCGAGATAACTCGCTGCATCTGTACCAACCGCGGATGCGGTTTACCTTCGCCTCGAGAGATAAAACGAGACGAGGCTACCTTGGCAGCGGCGCGGCAGCTCGTTCGGATTTCGTCGTTCCACTTACAAACGATGCTATCGGGCATGAAATCCGTGGAATGTTCTCGGTAGGATATTTTATTACTGTCAGTAGAGGGTGTTCCATCAGTGGAATCGTATCGCCTTTCGATTAAAAGTATCAGAGATAGATTAGGATCGCATTTTCAGTTAGTCTTGAAATCTCAGTGACAAAGCATTTCCTATTTTCTTTTTATTATCCTCCGTAACTCGGCACTAAGTTTGAACTAATTTGGACTCGTATAGAATTATTTAAAAAAATATATGTAAAGATTATAGAAAATTGTATATATTAACAATTTAATAATTTTAATTAAATATATAACTAATACATTTTATAATTATATATATATATAATAAGAAAATAAAAGTTAAAACTTTGTTTAAACATTTGGCGCTGACTGATAATTCAAAATTAATACTATGTATTAGCGTCATTTCTACAAAAAAAAAAGTTTTAAATTTCTTATATAATAAGATTGATAAAAAACATCCGGTGATGTCAGATTATTGTACGTATAGCGAATTATAAAAGACGGATATCTGCGATATTACGTATCCTTTGTTTCGCTCTTGCAATCACTCCGCCAATTTATCCGCAGCCGACTCAATGAACCGCAAAGGAAATCATTAATTAAAGCTCCATGAGAGAGCGAGCAACGTCGAGTAACGTACATACGTCAAAAATTTTCAACGAAACCAACCGGATTCACGGTGGACGCCCAGTACAGGTCGAATTATCTCGATCTCGAAATCGGCACGATTACACGCGAGTGCGCGAGGAGGAAGCAGAAAAAGAAGCAGAGGAAGGGATATCTCGATAAAAGAGTGAGAGAAGGAGAGAAGCGCGTCGAGACGAGGATGCACTTCTGCTTGCACCTGCCGGTGACGTCAGAAGGGACTTCTTGTTTGAGCCTGCTCAGCCCCGGGGGTCACCACTACTGTTTTAGGTTACTCTGCACGCTTCTCTTCTTCTTCGCCTTCTCTTTTCCCTTCGCAATCTCATCGAGGATCTGCTCTTCTCTCTCTCGCGTTTACTCGCAGCATCGTCGAACGTGCGTATACAAGTTTCATAAGCGAGCAAAGAACGCCGCGGTCATTGCTCACGTATTAATTATATGCTAATGAAAATTCCATGTAAAGTCGCGGTCTGAAAAAAAACTGCCAGGATCTTTTCAACATCTTTCCTCATCTGCTGCTCGCTTTTTCATAGTTACGATTTCTAAGTCATGGACCTGGCTTCTTTCTTCGAACAATTATTTTATTTAATTACGCAGAATTTATTACTCTATAATATAGAATTATATATGAACAAACTTCTTTATAAATCCTTGTCGTCTTGCAGACAATATTATAGCAATGCATAGATACCTAAATATTATTCGCATATGTATATGTGTATTAAGTTTTGTGTATAAACCTATATATGGATACCTTCTATAAATTCTAATAATAATCTTCATATCTGCAACGCCCTAAATAAGTAAACAAAAAGAAACGCATGCGCGTGATCTCGAACCTTTTAAATGCATTCCGTATACAACGTGCGTTTAGTCTGATTATTCAGACATTCGCGGATCCTTTTTCTCGTCGGTTAATGACGCGATAAAGCGATACTATCGTGCGACGGAATGCCAGAGGTAGTATTTTAATCAAGATCGTGTCATATCGCTCACCTCTAATGTTTGCCACGGTCGAACGTGAAGGGGATCGCGCGCTCCACCTTCGGAATAACGTTTTATCTGATGGAACCCGCGACACTCGTCCGGCACGCGATTTGCATAATCTAATGCCTTCGTTCCGAGACGCGAATAAAATATAAGAATATGATGCAGAGTTTCTGCGAGATATTTATCGCGCCGCCCAATTTTCGAGCGTGATAACACCTTAAATGCTGTGTAATTTTCATTAAAATTTTTCTACAACCTTAGCGATAAACTTCGATGCAAGCAAATTTTAATTATATTCCTAATAATTAATAATCTTTCAGTAAAATAAAATAGATTCTTATTTTTTTATCTATTTTTCTTCCAAGAATCAAGTTCTCCCAAGTTCTCCTTGTTTAGAGAAGTAACGGTATTTTAAAATCATGTCAATTCTAATAGTTCTCATCAATTTATAGTAATTAAATTCAAGAATTTAATTTGATTTTTGTAGATTCTATTTTTTCATACGGAAACGCTGATGTTTATCGACATTAGTAGACTTTCCAAGTTATAAAATCAAAGATCGACGGCGCGTAATTTATGCCGACGAGTCGCTTGTTGGTTAATGAACCATTCTGCTCAAGGAGCACAAACGCGTTTCGGAAATTTGTCACGTTACACGCGTCGCGAACTCTTCGTTTCGTTGGATAATGCATGTGATTATCGATACTATAAAATATACGCGTATATAAATTTTCAGGAGAATATAAGAACGACGCGGCTCTCAAAAACTCGACGGACCGTTCTCGAATCGCTAGGATGTGGACAAGCAAAACGATCATGAATTATTAATTCCATGTGAGACGCCTCCGGGATGATGTGCACGCTCGCGCGAATATATACGCAAGGAAAGAAGAAAGAGGCTTTAAATCGGGACACACCGCGCGAACGGTCTCGAATTAATTAAAATTTGACGGTCGCGTTAAGAACCGGTTGTAAAATCTATCCGATCTGGCGTGATGGTCCCCCGAGAGATGAGGGCTTCTTTCCACCGACTGTTAACGGCGGGTTCGAGAGAAAGAGCGCGAGACCGAAGCGAGGGATCCTGTTGGAGCAGAACGTCCGCGAATCCGTGCTCGCAAACCGGTTTAAATCCGCGGCTAACAGGAAACGCGCAAAATTACCCGTTTCCTCAATTTTCATTAGAGAGTCGCCTGTTGCCTGCGTGGTAATAATGGACGCGAGATCGCGCTCTACAAGCTGGAGACATTCGAGCTAACGAGTCGCTGCGATGTGATTGACTTTGCTAGATTTCAATAGATCGATGAATATTACAATTTCTTGCATAGAAACATTATTTTTTACTAATTAATTCTTATGTTGATTTTATGTAATATAGGAATTTGCGAAACTCTTGTATGGGCCTCTACGAATTAGTTTGTGGTATTCAATATGCGACACACTCCAGTGACTCGGCTACCACGTGGACAAAACCAATCGATCGATATGCCCAATGATCCGTGACATGTTTATATTCTATATTTGTATGAAAGGTCGATTATTTCTTGGCTAAATGTAGAACGAGGCAAAAATCGAGGTTTGTCAGGTTTACAAGTTAAAAACGAAGATGAAATCAGCTGTTGTTGATTAAATCAATAATTATATGTGATTAGAAATATTTGGTAAACTTTCAAATATATATATTAAATAAAGAAATTTAAATTGTAATAAATTAGGTATATATATATAAAAATTAATCAAAATTTAATGTTTATAATCTTCATATAGAATTTATTATACAAAATATTAAAATTTGATCTTACGTACGTATAAATAAAATCACGTTTGCAAATTAAATATAATCGTCGCAGGTAAGTCGAGTTTGCAAAGCACCAAACTCGTCCCACCTGTCCCAAGCTGTATTTCCGAGGCGCAAGTGAAAACAAATAATCCGAGGGTACCTGTCTTTCGAGAGGGCAGACAAAGTTTGCCTGCGGGATATAGCCATACTATACGTCTGCCCCATCTCGACAGGATCCTACACGAGATTCGTTTTCGCTCTCAATAGATTTCAATTGGTATTCAGGTGCATCAGTCAAACACCCATAAACTACCGATGATCTCACGTTTAAATTAAGTGAATTACCTATCCTCAATAATGCGTATTAATTTCTTTAATTACTGATAAAACTTAACAAAATGACATTTTTTTAATAATAAATAAATAACAAGAAAAATATAAATTGATTAAAATATATTAATAATTATATTTATAATTCTATTTTTTATCCTCAAAATTTATTTCCGTTTAATAATATTAGTTGTATTCGGTAAATAGATTTATCTATCAAGTGCTAATGCGTATTCATTACTATTCATCTGACACACGTGCCACGAAACAGGTTGTTAAAAAATATCACCCCGAAGAAAAAACTCGTGGGGTGTGAGAGGAAAAAAATATGTTCCCTTAAAAAAACTTTCAAACTTTTTTATGACGGTACAGTTAATGGAAGCATCGTGATCGCGAAGACAAGGGACCCCGAGTTCCAAGATAATAAAAAATCCGGTCGGAGGTGTATTTAATAGCGGGAGTTACCGCACCTATCACGAGGCGTCTAGACGCTTCTCGGCTCTAAATCTCTCGAGCACACTGGGGTAATGAAGGAAGCCCGGGTACGTTATTACTGCACGTTAATTACTATAACTTACCGGCTGTACGCTAACCCTTTGGTTTAAAAATTCTTAACAACCATTGCACTCGAGATTATTTTTTCTGTGAGCCAACAAGATCCAACAAATATGTATGAAAAATCGCATCAAGTATTTTAATTATAAAATAAATATCTCTATATCTTTCTCTCTTTCCAATCGATAACAAATGATTATAATAAAATTCAAATACAAATAGTTTTGTATTTTATATAATTATATAATTTTGTATAATCTAACTCTTTTTTGTACATTTAAAAATATTTGAAAAATGAGATAACATAATATTAAAATACAATAATAATTAAAATATTCGCAATGTAAGATTCAATAGAATTGAAAATAAAATTTTAAATTTAGCATTAATTTTAATTTTAGGTGTAAGGTATAAAAATGTATATAGAAAACTGCTTTCTTCTTCATTTTCACCCCTAATAAAGAGTTCATTCACGGACAATCTCAATCTGTTTATATCGATGCACTTTTCATGAATTCACTGATTAATTGGACGTAAATAAGCATTATAAATTTTCTTCGTTCACATCATTATTTCTATTACTATCGATATCGTGTCTAACCAGTCAACTTGTCACCCCCGATGCGAAACGCAACAAGTTAAACACTTCGTATTCGGTGCAAAGCTGACGACAAAATCTGTCTTACCTCACGCAAACTCGCGTGACGCGCACGAACGTGTCGCAACAGGTTCGAACCAGTCTTGAAAAAGCAATACCATCCCCTTATTGCAGTGTCTAAAAACTCCGGCTGCATCCTAGAGAAAAAGAACCCTCTGGAAAGGTCTCTAAGAAATCAGAATCGCGGACGAAACGAAAGAGGATTCACCATACGTATAAGATCGAGAGGGGGTGACCATGGGGGTGTATGCGCACGTGTATATAGAACGGAGAGGCCCCTGCAAGCAGGGTGTTACAGGGACCGAGGTAGGTGGTGGACGACCGAGAGGTGAAGGCGGAGGAAGGGAGAAGACCGGCAGATGGTCGGCGTGGACCCCGACGTGGGAAGCTCCGAATTCTCTGAGTTCCCACAGCCAGAGTGCACCTGCCTTCCCCACTCTGTAACCCCGTGCAGTCTCGGCGGGGCTATATAAGAACGGGGTTGCTCGTACTAAGGCACCATTCGCTCACTAGCGTTTCGCTCCAAAGCAACTTGCCCAAAAGCACATTCACCAAGTACACGTTCTCCGCTTCCACGTTCTCCCGCCAAGTTCCTATCGAACGACAGTTCGTGCCACGTGTTCCGAGTTCCGACAGTTCGGCGGAAAAAAACCGGTTCAGTGTACGTGGTTCAAGGGAGAAGCAGCTTCAGAGATAGAGGAAGAAAGAGAGAAAGAAATAAGGAAGAAAGATGGCCGCCACCACCGTAACCGAACACGTGTTGTTCGACTTCGAGGTTAGCGACGTGTTCCAGAATGAGTTCAACGACAACCTCTACAATCTGAACATGTCACAAGACAAGGCTGTCAGACCCGCCAGCAAGAGCAGACGCATACTGAAGCCATTAAAGCCTTTGCTGCGAATGCTGAAGAAACGCACCAGCAAGTATACCAAGAGCAACAAGCGTCAGCAGGCCGTGCCACAAATTGAAATCTTCACCGAGGAGGTCGACAATCAGAACAATGCCAACGAGACGTTAGAATGCAGACTCCTGCAGGAGCTGCGAGATGCCGAAGAGGGTGCCGCCATCACTGTCTGTCTAGACGGACAGATGACCGTCGTGCCGGTTGTGCCTGGTCAGTGCTACGTGCCGGTGCATTTCGCCCACACCCACGCCGGCGACTTCTACTGGACGACACTCAGCATGGCAGACAGAGACCTGTGCTACAAGGAGCGCGCATTCTCGCAGCATCAGCTTCCCGAGGTGCAGGTAGCGTGAGACATCATCGTTGAGGACAACCGCGTCTACCTCAAAGGCGAATCGTTCGAGAGCTGATTACTCGAGATGCACTAAACTTCGAGAGCTTTCAAGGCCGAAGACTGCAATCATCAGCCGAGGTGCGGGACGAGAGCTTCAATAACATTTCGAAACTGTGATCACTAGATTATATAGATTTTAATTTTATGTCACATTGACATGCAACTGACTGACCGAGATGAGCATTCCTTGTAGATGTAATGACAATTGAGGAAATGTCAAAGAGAGACGTATTTTATATTTTTTCTTCCTTCTCTTTTTTTGCGACACATTAGTCGCGTTTGTGATATTTGTACTTATAACATATACTTATATATACACATTTGTAGTATTATTTTGAGAATGTGATACTGGCTTTAATGTCGGCAAGCCGACAGTTTTCTTTATGTCTTCCAATATGTTTGTTTAAAAAAATAATAAATGTTATTAATAAGCAAATATATATCTTGTACCAATTCATTAATCGTTTCCTTTCCCTTAGTTATAAGTGAGTAATTATAATATATATTAAACTAACATTAAATTTTTTTCATACACTTATAAATAATTAAATTTGCCACCAAGGAGATATAAGAAAAGAGTCTCTTTTGGTTAAAATTCATATGAAATTTTCAGAAATCATTATCGTATATTTTCATGTCATATTTAAATTTAAATTAATTAAAAAAATAATTAAATCAAAATATCTCGTATATCAATTAATTCATATATCTAATTGTAAGATTGATTCGAAGAAAATTTATCTTTTACATAAGGTTCTCTCGAAATTTCGTTATATTAAACAATATGAAAAATTTCTTAAGAATTCCAAAAGTAAAATAAAAAAATTTGATCAGCCATTTAACATAGCTTCAAAGAAACGTCAGACAAAAGTATTTCGTCTATGAAATAATTTTACGCGGGAAAACTTTGCCAAGATGAAACTATATATCTGAATAACGTGACTTTAAAATGTGATTAAAGAATATCGAATTTTAAATATATTATATTTATATTTTTTAAATTTTGATTTACTTTCTTTCAAACAAAATTACTGATAATTACATGTTCCTTTCAATGTTATATATTTCAATATTATTAGAGTAAAATAGTTAACTAATTTCTTTACGTATATATAAGTTACAAAAATATCAATTGTTTAGTATATTTGGAAATAAAAAAAAAACAGAGAAAAGAGCAAGTAGACAATAGTTCATTTAACCGAAAATAATGCACGGATATGAATCGACATTATGCGCATGTGTTGTCCATATGTGACAGACACATGTCCATTGCGGAATAGATGAGATGGGGTGCGTGCGAATTCGCATGATCTTCCACAGTAAACGCAAGGGTGACCCCAACTTTTAGACCGAAAAATAATAAAAGATATCACGATGATCAATGACCGTATATTGAAGTATAATAGAATAATCGAAAGGGTGAATAAATTTACGAATTGTTCAATGTAGCTACTTCAAATTTGTTTACTTAATAGATACTCAACTGTGAAAAGAGAGAGTGCCTGTATCACCTGGCGTTACAATACTTTAGTAACACAAGTAAATGAATACTATTCACGCAATAAGTTGCTGCTCTATTGTTAACATTAAAAAAAAATGAAATGTATATGTTTAATGTAAGATTGTATACATCTAATTTATTTTTATAATATTATGATATAATATACATATATGTATATATGTAGGTATTTTTGAAATACATCAAAAAATTAAATAATAAATATTAAAATTTGTATATATTTTATAATTTTAATTAAAAATTAAAGAAATATTTTAAAAATTTATTAAAATAATTAATTTCATAAATAATTTTTTCAGCATTTTTGTCGCTAATGAGTTGTAAATTGGGCGATTCAAAATTAGATAGCGAACAAAGTAGAATATATATAAAATTAGATAATAAAAAGGAATTGTGCCTGTAAGTCTCTATTTTGGGGTAGATAAGTAAATATCAGCCTATAGGATAGGCAACCCTTCAAACAACCCTGCATTAGATGCACGTCTGCATCTGCGTTGTAGGGGCAAAAACTTCCTTTGACACACACTTCTAGTTTAAAAGAGGTCAACCGCGAGAAAATAAAGCGGTATTAAAAAAGAAGAGAAAAACTTTATCCGAAATGTATCAATTACGTGACTTATTTTCACCAACGGTGTATCGTGACGCGTCGATTAAATAAATTAATTCATTATCCTCTTATTCTGTCCCCCTTCTCCTACCTGCATGGTTCCTTTTGCCTCATTTGCAGTCACTTCACGGCTATCCGGATCGCGTAAATTGGTCAAAACAAGTAATGTCGCAACCGTACTATAGCTTCTTCTCAGTAATTACAGTGATTAAAGTGTCTGCACAGGAATTTTTCCTCGTACAAAATTGCCTCGTCGCCACACGTAATGTCCACATGGTGGGAACACTTCGAACTTGTATTCGTTTGAGATATCAAAGGAATTCGAGATATTCGTAATTTTTTTTTATGCAAGAAGTACGATGTAAATATATACATATATATAATCATATAGATATATGTATAATTCTAATCATTTATAAGTTGAGAAAATAAATTAAGTTTGTTAATATGTTAATACAAAAAGTTAACATATTTTTTAATGTCAAAAATTTATATCTAATAAAATATAAAAATTAGTTTTTATATGACACACACGAGACATTATCAATTATCTTAATTTATATTCTCTCATTTGAATAAAAGATTACGTAGTATAAATGATTTTTTATAAATAGAGGTAAGGAACATTATTAATGCGAGGGCGATTTTTGAAGTATTACGTTTTCAATTTCGCATAAGAAAACGATTTACTTTATATACTTTATATACAATATACTTTCTTTTATCGTGTCACTTTTTCGCTGATAATTGACATGTCAGGAAAGATAGCTAAAATAAATGGTTTCGCTTTTCTTGAAATTATATAAAAAGACGTGAAAATTTGACCTAAACATACTAAAATTAATCTTTTGTACAAAAAGCAAAAATAAATTAGATATACTTATAGTTAATACTTGATCTTTAAAATTGGAAAAAATGACTTTAATTCTAAACATCCGATTTCATCAACATCAGTGATAATGATCTGCATCTTCTTACATTGATGCCAACGTTATTTAAAGTATTCCGAAACAAATGATAACATAACTTTTACGTGTAAATGAATTAATCGCAAGACGTGTGTGTGATATTACAGCTCATTAAACAAAAAATATGCTGCTCCCGGTAGCGAAAGTAATAAATCCGGTTGCGTGTGTCGGCTCGAGAGCGCTTTCGACGGCGAACAATCGCCGCTACTTTCTCGGTTTGACATTTCTCGGCGCGAGGGAAAAGCACGTGTCGCGGCGCGGCGCGGAATCGGCGCTACCGCACACATCTCTCTTCCCGCATGCGACCGATAGTCGTCGGCCTTTCCTGTCGTCCGCGGGAGTGAATGGCGCCGCCGTATCTCCCTCCTCGTCGCGGGGGCCTCGCTCGTGCCTCGCTCGCGCTACTCGTTCCATTCCCACGGCCCCGATCGCCGCATTAATGCGAGCCGCCGCACACGCGCACACGCGATCTCCGTCGCGCGCACGTACGCACGCGTGTCACGTACGCCCGGGCGCATTAGATGAATCGCGCACGCGGAACACTCGCGCGCACATTTTTCCGCTGAATTTTATTTTTCACGTGATATATATTAATAGTATCAAAAAATATATATATTTATAAAATTTTTTAAATAGTTGCAAGAAAATGCAACTGTCATAAGTATATATGCATTCATTCGAGAAGGATTTTCATTTTTACATCAATTTTTCAAAAGTCAGACAATCTCAATATAATATTACGCTGCGTAATTTATAAAATGTTATACCCTCTGATATGTTTAGATTTAGACTATATAAAATTAATGTATTAGATTTTATTATTCAAAATTTAATTTTATATAGTCTAAATCTAAACATATGACTATACATATGAGAGAGTATATAACATTTTATTAATTTTGCTAGAATCTTTGTTGATAGACATAAAACGAAATAAAACTTGTATAGTCATGTTATGTCAGAAAATTGTAATTAAAATTAGTTTGGAAACAAATTGTATCAAATTCTATTTTCAGCTGGAAAATACTTTAATCATACATTATTAACTAGTTTATCACGACTAAAAAGAGCCTGAAAACATCACCCAAGAACTTTATTCGACGCATGCGTCATTAACTCTAAATCTGTCGTAATTACGCAAAGCAACAGAGAAGTCACGCCAGTTTCGGTTGCTAAGAAAATCGCTGTCAGCGAACAAACGATAGCTAGAAGAGAAAGCAGTGCTTCTTTCGCCATCGGACGAAGAGGCAAAAGGAAGCCGGAACGAAATTGGCTCATGACTAACACCATTGGTCATAGAGTTCGCGAAACGTGCCATTACTGTGCCAATCGTGTGATGTCTTTCACGAAAAAGAAGAATTGAAACGTGTCCTCAGCGGCACACGACGTCTTCTACCTCGCAACCTCTTTATAGGACGGTGAGAGCAATTGAAATAGAAGACTGTTGAGTAATGATGCATTAATAATAGCGTGATCAATCGATGATGCGCGAACTCTAAAGTACGAATTATCAAGAAAGCATATCATTATATATAATAACTTAATGTGACCTGATATGAAATCATTCACAAAACAGATGTAATCCAATTCACGAAACTATAAGTGAAAAGATGTCATATAATCGATATATTTTACATCAATGTTCGTAAAAATATATTTTTAATTTCGCGAGTAAAAATCATATATATATATTTCTGGTTCTTCATTTTTTATGATCATTTTTCTTATTTTTTATTTTATTCTTGGGTTGTAGCTATAGGTATGTAAGTTTCACTCTAATAATGTTTCGTTATATAAAATAAAAACGAAATTCAAGCAAAAAAGTTATTCACTTGTTTTGCCTTATACTTATATGTATAAATAGTTTATGAGTTTTTGATATTTTTTGCCATTTGTTTTCGAAATATGATAATGAACAGAATTCGTAAATAAAGGTCAAAGATCTCTGACAGAGAACGCAATCGCGCTAGATGGTATTTTTGGTAACCCTAAATTGAAAGAGATAAGCAATGAAGAATCCAGTTCTTGACTACTTATTCTTAACGTGAATTAGCATATGTTAAAATAACATTAATAGAATTAGCTTTCGCAAAATAACGAAATCGATAACATTCGTCGATTTTATACTTAAAATGATTATAATCTGGAATATATATAAACTTGTGAATCGTAATCATTTATATTTGACGATCGCACATATTTATTATGATCATGTTGTTCGATATTAATTACATCCGGCTTAATAATTAATATGTAAATGACACATATTCAATTGGACATCCTCATGTAATCT